TAGTAGGCTCATAGCCACCTGCCTCTCCAGGTACAGGGGATCTGACACCGTCTTTTCTGGTTTGTCACCTGTACACATATGGAAGACATTCTCTTGAACACACAAACATACACATAAAAAAATGGGGATAAACTGGTTGGTGGTGGTACACACCTTTATCCCAGCACTCAGGAGGCAGAAGCAGGTGGATTTCTGTTAGTTTGAAGCCAGCCTGGTCTACAGAGTAAGTTCCAGGACAAGCTCCAAAGCTACACAGAAATCCTGTCTCTGAAAACCAAAACCAAATTTGTTTTCAAAATGAATTTGTTTTCAAATGTTCTTATGATGTATAAAGCAATTAGTGCAAAAAAGTTGATTTAATTGCATAATATAAATCATACATGATTTCTGTAAAAATCTATGATCTTGCATTTGCTTTGGAGAAGGTTTCCTTTCCTCATTCTAATACTGTCTTACATCCAATCATCAATCATAGGAAAGAAAATGTTTTCTAAGTGATCCTAACTTTCATGAGCAAGAAGGTAGATATGCATAGTTAGTGTAGCACACATTGTATTTATTATGTGGATGGTCATTACACAAGGTTCACACCCTAAATTCCTAACTAAGATCCTAAGTCTGTTTCCTCAAGGTTGCTTACCTGTGTGACATTTCTTAGCTGAAGGTCAGATCCAGTTTCTAATAGATGTCTCCATTTCAAGACTCAGGAATCTGGGGAAGATGCTCTAGCTGCTGGGAAGATCAAGGTTTTGTCTCCCCAGATATGCAGAACAGACATTGCTCTTGGTCTCTGTTTAGGGTTCTGGGACTGTGTCTGGTTATTTAAAGTAACTGATGTTACTGGGTTCTTGTTGTCAGATACAGACTTGGTTGTAGTGGGGTTCATGAATAAACTGTTTTTACATGTCTAAAATGCTGGGTTTCCTTTCTTTTTTCTTTCTTTTTGTTTACTGTGCTCATTACATTCAATTTCCAGGTCCTTTAGTTATGCATTAAGTATTTCAATTACTAGTAGACAAATAAATGCAGGAAAATAAATCTCAGGCATGAAAATATACAATTATTAATCAGAATGGTCAAAACAATGTAGATCACAGGATATTGCTATGATTCCTCTGGCAGATATATTTTCTGTATGTATTAACCTGATGTTAGAACTGGCGGTCATTTAGCCTTGAATGATTTTCTGATTTACTGTTGGATAAGTTGTGTGTTACTATGCCTAGTAACAATGATGCCATCTGGGTATGGATTCACTGAACACAAACTTAAAAGATATTTGTTTTATTATAAAAGGCCTTGCGTGAAAGCTGCAAAATACACTCGGATTCAAACTGCCTCTGTGTTTGTTTCTGTTTGTCACCTCTGAATCCTTACCCTCATCCCAGGGACCCCTATACCCAGTTGGGGGGTCCGTGGCAATCTCCTGCAGATCCTGTATGGCTCTGCAGCTTTTGATGCTCCCTTGTGGTTTCAGGAAAACCCAGTACCAGTGATGGTGAATCACAAAACAATGTACAAGAACAATTTAATATCTGCTTCCTGCCACATGGACTATGGCACATACTGCAGCATATGTCCTATGCAACAGTCCCAAACCATGCAAACTTGAGACATCTCTGTTGTTCGGACCTCCTTTTATCCCCTGGAACTGAATTCACTGATCACTGATCATGGGGGCTGACCGTAGCAGAAAGGTAAAAGCATTTTAATCATGTATTGCCAAAGGTCCCCCTCCCCAGGGAATCTACACTCAATGTAGCTCAGAGACCAAGGGCCACTGCCTAGGTCACCACAGGGACCAATAGAACCATAGTCTGGTCATTTGTCCATCCCAGTCCCAGCAGCTCAGACTCTGACAGTTCAGCCAAACTGATCTTCCTGATATGGGAACACCGTCCCCCACACTCACCAGGCATGGTTTGTTGTCTTCCTCACAAGTCCCTATGGTAGAAGCAGAGGAGAATCCTGGAAAGAACCTGGTGCTCCTGATGTTAATCCTTCCAGAGTCTCTCATTAGCTAGGACCACCCAGCTGGGCCTCTGGACATTATAGGTTACCCTACTAGGTAAGCAAAGATTAAATGACTCTAGGACATCACAGGCCTTCCTAGCACTGCCCTTACAGGGCCCTAGTCTGTGAAATTTGTAGTTTAGTAGAATCTCCCATTCTCCCAGAGATCTTCCTGCTCCTCTTCCAAAGCACAGGGTCCTTTGGGTGCATTACATACTCAGTGTCCAGTGCAGCCAACCCTTTGCTTCTTAGCAGGAGAAGTACTGCATCTGAACACAGGTCACATACAAGCAGTAACTCTTGTTAAATGAAAAGAAGCTATGGATTAGAAAATAATGTGAGGGCTTGTAGGCAGGAAAGAAATGGTGGAAATGATGTAAACCCCACCCCAAAAGTTGAAGCAGGCTTTATGGCCATGTGCTTCAGAGACTAGGGGTTTGTATTAGAGCACACCAAGTATTATTGAAACCATTGTTCTCAGGTGCATATCTTAAACCTTTAAAACACAGTCATATTAGTCAAGGAGTCACCATTTTGTCCAGTTCTTTTATTTTGGTTGAAGTACCATAACTACATTAATTTGGTTTTAGGAAAGTTCAGTTCTTTATCCAGATTCTGTTCTGTGAAACTGAGAAATGGCTAGTCAAAACATTTACCAATCATCTAAAATTCATACCCTCCCTACTCATAGCTAATGTCAACTACTGTCACAGCAGGAAAGCTTTCACCTTCCTTGACCATACCTTTCCATGCTGTGAAAATACCTGCTTTTCAATTGATCGATGAACTCAATTCTTACCCAGGTCCCCCAATGAAATTCAGAGAGATTGGAGGACACTCATTCACTGGTCTATTTTTAATTCTCACAGACCAATTAAAGCCCAGCCTGGAAGGAGCAGCAGGACTGCCTTCCCAGCCTCAGGCACCAGAGGCAGGATTAAATGTTCAAAGCAATTCTCAATTACATTATGTGAGGCAAGCCTGAGCTACAGGAGACGATGATCTACTGGATCTCAACCTTCTTCATGTTGTGACCCTTTAATACAGTTCCTCACATTGTGATGATCCTCCCCAACTATAACATTATTTTCACTGCTACTTCATAACTAATTTTGCTACTGTTATAATGTATATTCTGATGGTCTTAGGCCATTCCTGTAATAAGGTTATTTGACCCCCCTAAAGGGAGACTTGACCCATCAGGTTGAGAACCACTGCTCTAAACCGAGGTAAATAATAAATAACACCTAAGAAAATAATGTAATGAAGTTCTTAATGACAAGGAAATATTGGAAAACAGAAACAAATAGAGTTTAAATTAATACATTTGAATAAGATGATTTTTTTTAAAAAATATATGAATAATTGACTTTTTAAAATGATAAAATCAATTGGAGGAACACTTAGTTATACTGGCTTTGAAACAGAGTAGGAAATTCCCTAGTACAGAAAATGACATTAATATCGCATTGTAAAATGTTAGTCGCTGAGTGTTGTAAACTGGCACATATTTACAGTCAATGGTCTGTATCTCAAACCTCCAAATTGACTTAACTGTGTCAACCAGGATTACACATACCTACACAGGAGAGTTCCCTAATTGGAAACGGAATACTCAGTAGTTCAAGCTACCCTCCCTAAACTGTATTCCCACCAGTTCTGTCTGTCTGTCTTATTTTTCCAGCATGTACTCTTTCCATGTGAATAAAGACAGACCATAAACAGAAAGTCACTCACCCTGTCCCATCAGGTCCTTCTTTGTAGTGGACACCCCTGCAGCTCACTGCCTCAAACTTCAGTCTCTGATCTAGCTATTGTCTAGTCTGCTTCCCCTGCCGTGTACACAGTACACTGCTTCTCCTCTTCTGGTCTGACGGGAGAAGCCATGCTCCACACGCAAACCCTTTTCCTGTTACTGCAATGAACAGTCCACTGTGTGACTCAGACTGGTCATTTCAGAACTCTGTGGCGCTACAGACTTGTAATCTAGGAATTTAGTGTGGCTAGTCAGGAGTATATCAAGGGCAATGAATGCCCTGTGGGGCTACAAGCAGGGTTCAAGTTCACCTCTATCAACATCAGAGGCCTCAATTCAAAATAAATTTTCAAAAAGACTGGAGATACAGCTGTTCTAGAATTAATGCATCTTTATGGCACACCTAGACTTAAAAGTGGTTGTGACTCTGTAATTGCCCTTTGAGCAGCATGTTCTTTGGGTAGGTGGGGGGGGGGTGTTCCTTTTGGCTGGTGGTAAAGCTGGGTTGATCTCCTTTGTTAGGGAAATGTTTAATGACTGGTTAATCCTGGTGAACATTTACTGCTTACCATACTAATCTCTAACAGGCATGGTTACCATACTACTTGCCTTTGGGGTATTCGGGAGGTAGCTCTCCCTTAGCTAAATTCTACTTTGTGTGACTTAATGTCTCCTAAGAATTGAGAAATCTTTATACCATCAATTCTATTACAGTCAATTCTACTCTTCTACATCACACTTTGTGAGTGGAGTGCAACTTTACGGAGAAGATAACACAAGCCTCACAAAATTATCTTCAGACAGATCCTAACCCTAAATGTTAATGTTATAAGTGCATAACTTCAGTTAAATATTAGAGAGACCAGGGCTCCCCGAGTTTGGCAAATCTGTTTTCCACAGAGACAGTACAAGCACTGCAGGCGCTGGCATTTCACGATGACGTAAACAACAAAGATACCTCTAAGCACAGCGCCTCTGCCAATGCTCTGCACGGACTCAGCCTGAAGAGTGAAGTATTTAGAGTCTGCCGCGCAGCACCGGAGGTTCCACGGACCTTGCAGGACAAGCTAAACTCTTGCGTCTGGCCGCTGGTCCCACCCAGCCTGAGGAGGAGCCACCACACCCGTTCCCGCGGCTCAGCCGGCCACTCCACCCACTCTGGGGACAGTGGCCACTCATTCCATATGGCAAGATACACCTCCCCATCTGGGGACAGAAAACTGGCACTCACCATAGTGAAGCTGCACGCTCTCTGTAGCGGAGGCGCTGCATAGGACCCAACTTCAGACATCCTCAGCATAGGGTCTGCCCCAGACTCGTTGCTCCCGGAAGAACCCTCCTATCTGACTGGCCGGTCCTCTGGAAACCCCGATTGGCTAGCGAGACTTGAGTGACAGGCTTAGTTCACTTGGGGACAGACCTAGAAAGCTGAACAGCACAGTGGTGTTCAGCCCTGGCTCTCACCAGAAGCACAGCCCTATCCCAAATTGATTGGAGATTTACATCAAATGAAACAACAGATCTCCTTGTAATAAACCAATGGGTTCGTTTTTTAAAAGAATTATACTCTCAGAAGGAGTCTAATCAGAAAATGTAACACAAGAGGAAAGCAGGGAATCTCAAGAACATTATAAATGAAGACCACAGTGGTATTGGGACTGATAACCACAACCACATGCATAGTAAGAGTTGGGTTCTCAGGATCTGAAGAAACCCCTCCCCAAAGGCCCTAGCCCCAGACGATTACCAGCTCATCCAAGCTTATTCCTGGTTTTAGAGAAGGGGCTCTGGTTTATTCTTAATACACGAGGCCCTTGGGGAAAGCTCCCAAGGCCTAAGCTGGTTGTCAAAGTGGCAGAACCCTTTTCTCAAGCATCTTCTAGAAGTTCTGCACTTTGGAGGTTGTAACTGGCATTTCATGTGCAGGGCAGCGTTCCACTACCAAGCATGATGGAAAAGAATAGAATTGGTACAGAAAAAAAAAAAAATTTACCAAGGTTTAGGAGACAGTAAGTCACACAAAGTAGAATTTAGCTAAGGCAAGGCTGGCTCTTAAATACCCCCAGAGATAAGTAGTATGTAAACCTGGCCTGTTAAAAATTAGGATGCAAGCATATAAATGTTTGTTAACTTTTATGTATACTGGTATTGGTCACAGGTCTGTAGTAAAAACAGCTAACAGGATATTCATCCATAAAAAGGACAGAGAGACCCTCTGTGTAAAAATCTGCTGGAGCATCATTGTTTTAAAAGGGATTTCTTAGTCGTTTTGTACTGGTTGCTGTAAACATCAATTTGATGATTTTTGATTATGTATTTGCTGCATCTTTATCACCTACATATACACATTGAGAACCAAAAGCATGGTTATAGTAATGATGCCACATAAGACTGTCTGTGTTCTCCCTAAGCTTTAGTTTAACAGATTGAACCTAGGAAATTTTAATTTATTATATTGGCTTATACACAGCTTCTATTCAGCTTTATACTACTTAATTGTTGTTGCTCAGAACTATCTAAAGGCAAACAATTGCGCTGTCCTATGATCAGCTGTGCCTGCTCACAAAGGATGACAGCCACTAGGTCTGCTGACTGTTGATGTTCCATCATAGAAGGAAGTGCCCCCTCCTGCTGAATATACAGCCTATTTCCCAGGCAACTGTGAGCAATTCAACCCTAATGACATGTGATCTTGTGGTTTTGGAGAGGAGCTATAGTACATAGCCTGGGAAAGACTAAAGAGGAATTGATTCTGCATTTGTATCAATGAAAAAGCCATCTTAAAAAAAGGGGGGGGGAGCTTATCTTGAATGCTATCAGGCTTCCTTCTTTTGTACACTGAAAAATGTAATAGTGGAAGATTAGACAGAAGGTGAGGTCCACATATACAGCTATTGGAGGGCCATTGTTCAAGCAGGGTGCAGACATTCCTGTATGGTTGCATTTGGGTATCTTCTTAGTTTTTATTGTTCTGAAGAAAAAAAAATGACTGATATATATATATATATATATATATATATGATATATATATATATATATTCTTATTTTACATATTGAATCAGGTTACCTCTCCCTCCCACCCATGCCCCCCCAACACCCTCCCATCCTATCCCCACCCCCACACTCCACAGGGAGGGTGAGGCCTTCCAGGAGGGATCATTAAAAGCTGTCAAGTAATTAGGACTAGGGTCTATGCCCTCCATCCTGCCTCTGGGCTAAGGGAGTATCCCACCATGGAAAATGTACTCCCAAAGTCCTTTAGTGCACCAGGGATACATCTTTGTTCCACAGTCAGAGGTCCCTCAGACTGCCCAGGCCTTCTAACTGAGACCCACGTTCAGGGGGTCTGAGTCAGTCCAATGCTGCTTTCCCGGCTATCAGTCTAGGGGTCCATGAGCTCCCTTGTTCAGGTCCCCTGTCTCTGTGGGCTTCTGTAGCCTGGTATTATCCCCTTTTCTTATCATTCCTCTCTCTCAATCTGCATCTGGATTAAAGAATTTGGCTCAGTGTTTAACTGTGGGTATCTATTTCCATCAGCTACTGGATGAAGGCTCTAGAATGGCATATAAGTTAGTTATCAATCTAATTATCATGGAAAGGCATTTGAAGTAGCCTCTCCACTGTTGCTCAGATTGTTAGTTGGGGTCATCCTTGTAGGTCTCTGGACATTTCTCTAGACTCCGTTTTCTCTTGTCTTGCTCTACTCTATTCGTCCCCCCAACTCAGTCTGGTCCTACAAGTTCTCCTCTCCTCCCCTTTTCATTCCCCTGACTCGCTCTCCACTCACTGGCCCCCCACTCCCAATATGCTCAGGACGCCTTGTTCCTTTTCCCTTCTTTGAGGGACCACAGAATCCTCCTTGTATCCGAGTTTATCAGGCAGTGTGAATTACAAGCTAATGATTTATTGCTTTATGTCTAAAATCCATATATGAGTGAGTACATACCATGTTCCTCTTTTTTTGTGATGGGGTTACCTCACCCAGGATGGTTTCTTCAAGTTCCATGCATTTGTCTGTGAATCTCAAGATTCCATTGATTTTTTTCTGCTGAATAGTATTTCATTGCGTAAATGTGCCACATCTTCTTTATCCATTCTTCAGTAGAGGGGCATCTAGGTTGCTTCCAAGTTCTTGCTATTACAAATAATGCTACTACGAACATAGTTGGACACATGTCTTTGTTGCATAGATGTGGATCATTTCGGTATATGCCTAAGAATGGAATTATGAGGTCCTGTGGTAGACTGATTCACATTTTCCTGATATTAAAAATAGCTGTACAAGTTTGCACTCCCAACAGCAGTGGAGGAGTGCTCTCCCTCTTAAGATGTCATTGGTGTTTCTTTTTTTTTTTTTTATGCATATAGAGTATTTTTTATTTAATTTTATATAACAAAGTCCAATTAAATGAAAACAAACATTTATACACAATATTTGGGAATTTGGGCGTCGTTCTTTCCAAACTACTTCCTGCTGGTAAGGGGCGCTGTCTTGGGGGATTCGAAGAAGATTCAGATATCCTAGCTGTAGTCTGTAGGGCTGTTTTGTCCAGCTGTTTGGAATGTAGGATCAGCTTGTACTCTGTTTCAGGCGGTCTGGTGTGATCAAACCACATTAGTCTGGAAGGAATCCACATCTTTTCATTTTCTGTGGAAACAAAAATAGAAATACTTTTCCCCAGTAACTTGTTCTTCAACTTAAATTTTGGAGTCAAAGCGTTTTTTTTTTTTTTTTTTTTTTTTTTTTTTATTATTTTACATGTCGATCCCAGTTCCCTCTCCCTCCCTCCCTCCCTCCCCCCAAGCCCTCCCTCCCTCCTTCCCTCCCTTTTGCCCTCTCTACCCTCTCCCATGCACTCTAAACACCCTCCCCTCCCAACCCCCCACCACAATACAATATGTAGGGGAATGCCATCCAGTTGGGGTCATGTAGATCTGACAGGTCCTGTGAAGTAGGGACTAGGGCTTCTCTCCTATCTCTAGAATAAGGCAGTTATCCCTCCATGGGGGATATGTTTGCAAAGTCCTTTTGTGCACCAGGGATACATCCTGGCTCCACTGTCTGAGGTCTCTTAGACTGCTCAGACCTTCTGGCTGAGACCCATATTCAGGGGGGTCTGAGTCAGACCCCTGTTGGCTTCCCAGCTATCAGTCTAGTGGCCCTTAGCTCCTCCTTGTTCAGGTAAGCTGTCTCTATGTACTTCTACCGCATGGTCTTGTCCTCTCCATCTGCTTCTGGGTTCTAGTTTGACTCAGTGTTTATGTATGGGTGTTTGCTCCTGTTTTCAACAGGCATTAGTTGAGGGCTCCATGGAGAAGTTAGTTGTTGATCTCACTCTCCGGGAAGGGCATTTATGATAGCCTTTCCACAGAAGCTGAGATTGTTAGTTGGGAGCAGTCTTGTAGTTCCCTCGACCTTTCTTTGTGTTCAACTTTATCTTCAAACCAATATTGGCTCCCTCTTTTATGTTCTCTCTCTCTGTCTCTGTCTCTCTCTCTCTTTCCTATTTTCCATTCCTAACCAGGCTCAATCCTCCTGGTCGCACATGCCTTCCTCTCCTCCCTCTCATTTTCTCCTACTTCTCTCTCCATTAGCTGTCCTCCCCCACTATACCTGAGGTCTGGGGTACTTGTCCCTTCCCAGTTCTGTGAGGGACTTTATATGAATCTCTTAGAATACAACTTGTATCCTAGTTCCTCTGGTGATGTGAATTATAGGCTGATGATCATTTGATCTAGGTCTAAAATCCATATATGAGTGAGTACATACTGTGTTCCTCTTTTTGTGACTGGGTTACCTCATTCAGGATGGTTTCTTCAAGTGCCATCCACTTGCCTGCGAATTTCAAGATACCATTATTTTTTTCTGCAGAGTAGTATTCCATTGTGTAGATGTGCCACATCTTCATTAACCATTCTTCAATTGAAGGGCATCTAGGTTGCTTCCAGGTTCTTGCTATTACAAATAGTGCTGCTATGAACATAGTTGAACAGATGTCTTTGTTGCATTGATGTGAATCCTTTGGGTATATGCCTAAGAGGGGGATTGCCGGGTCCTGTGGTAAACTAATTCCCATTTTCCTGAGGAACCGCCATACTGATCTCCAAAGTGGCTGTATGAGTTTGCACTCCCACCAGCAGTGGAAGAGTGTTCCACTTTCTCCACATCCTCTCCAACATAAGTCATCACTGGTGTTTCTAATTTTAGCCATTCTGGCAGGGGTAAGATGGTATCTCAAAGTTGTTTTGATTTGCATTTCCCTGATAGCTAAGGATGTGGAGCATTTTCTTAAGTGTCTTT